GCAGCCCTGGAGTTTCCTTTCTTTTCAGTTGCTGAGGGGTAGCCCTTCCCCTTAGACACAACTGCATTTTTCTTATTTCATATTTACGCTGTTGTGTTTATTGTTCCTTTGTCAGCATTCAAGTAAATTAAAAAAAAAACTTCAAAGAAGTAGCAGTTTATAATGATTTGCCCTTGTTTGTGGCCATTTATTTATCATGTATGATTACTTTCAGGTAGCATTTGTCTGGGATGTTTATCAATATGATATCAATATCGGTAATATCTTCAGTATTCTGTTAGAGCTACGGACTGTTTCTATTCTTTAATTTCATGTTTGGATCTTCATATTACTTCTGGGGAAAAAAATCCCTGTTATCACAAAAGAAGTATTTCTTCTCTCATTAGTTTTCTATTTTCGTGACACCCTTAGCATATTATTGCATAGTAAAGAAATAAAATCATCCAGACATACTTTTCCATGTTGACTTCTCTTCTTAAGCTCATCAACTTGGTTGGCTTTATGTGGTTATGTGTTGATGAAACAGTGAATGTAAAGAAGCACGTGGTCATATGTCTAGGTTTTACTTTTTTAATCTATATACATTCTTTGGAGAAGTCTATTTCAGAATAACCAAATAGTCAGTTACTTAGTATCTTAGAATCTTTGTTTAGAATTGAGTCGAGACTTTATGACAAAACTAAGGATTATTTTGACTTTTCTGGGACTGAATACTTTATGGCTGCTTGATAGTTCAAGCAAATGGTATTTATGGGCTTAAGTCACACTTGAAAAAACAGAATTTCTTCCGAAACTTTATCTAAGGTTCTCTAGAATTTAGACGAGCTCAAGATCTGGTTGGTTTTTTCAAGGGATTAAACTAGAACATAAAACATGAACATCAGTTTCGTAAAAATTCAGAAACACAATCACCCTAACAGTGATGACATAAAGGCATCCCATAACCATTTTCCTGTAGGGAGTTGACCTAATCCTATTCTGATTCCCCCCAAGCAGAGGGTTAAAATGCCTGCTTTGGAACATACCCCTTACACATCATCTGAGCAGCAGCTGAATCTGTCAAATTATAAACCACTTGGATAGACAGCTCTCACTGTGAAATCCCTACATGCCACCTAGCCTCCAACGAAAATACCATTTTACATTGTACGTGGTGCTTTTGCAACTGTTATTTCTTAGATCATTCCATGCAGTGTCTCTGAGGTTAGGTAGATAGATTGTTGATGGCAAACCCATTTTCCACAGAAGACAAATATTGAGGTCAAATATAAGTCAAGGTCACATGGCTAGTTAAGTGATCAATCTAGAACTTGACCCGAGGATTCCTGTTACCTTCTCTATGCCTGGCACTGCACTGGGCAATATCTGTAATTCTTTTCTGTCAGGTAGTTCTTATTATCTCTCATTTTAAAGATTTTGAAAATGAAGCCCAGAAAGGTAAAATGATTTGCTAAAATTCATGTTGTTGTGAGTAACAGAATGATGATTCCCACCAGATCTCTCAGGCTCTGAAACACATGCTTTTTCTGCTAGACAATGTTATTCCCTGAAATGGGAGAAATAACTCTAGTGTTGCGGGTTTATGGGTAATGAAGTGACAAGAGATGAGTAGTATCAATCTATGAACTGTACTCTAGCAGCTGGGTTACCAGTATCTAAGCTTTCAGTGGTGAGAGCATACAGTTCACTGTTCTGCACTTGGACTGATCTGACTTTTTTATTCTGCCAAGTGCTGAATGTTAAAACACATCTCACTGCTAAGCCCTCTTCAGGCCTTTGATGCCCTTGTAAAGGCAGGTGGTCTGAAGAAAGGCTGTCTCTAGGTTGTTGCACACGATACCCGACACATAACAGTGCGAGACAACTGTCAGTTCCTTCCTTCTCTTCTCCCCCCTCTTCCAGAAAGCTGGGCCCCAGATGGAAGATCTGGAAACTTGTCAACTGTTCTCTGAAGGGCATTTAGAAAATACTGTCAGGGAGAAAAAGGCAAGCGCAACAGCTCATTAGTCCACTAATCAGACAGGACGACCATCAATTTCACAAAGAAAATGTTCTGGACAGAGAGATGGAAAGGGCTGGCAGAGTGTTGCCCACATGGCTCTCAAAGAGCTGCACATTTTTGTCAAGGGATTTGTAACTTCGGGGCATTGCTTCTTTGGTTCACTATTTATTCGTTGTATCTTTTCTCAAAATGTGACCACTGCAAACTGAAGCATAAAAATAATATTTGGAAATATTTTTCTCAGTAGGTGTCCCGTGAATGTGCAAAGATATGCTTTGTCACCAGTATCATGAATGTTCTTGTGTGCTTTGCATTTATAGCTGTGATCTGACCAAAAGAAAAATGAGATCAATATTCTCATTTGAATCTTTGGTGCTCCTTTCTTACACTTTAAATTGAATCCAGCAGTTATTGAAAGGAAAAGCTTGCAATTAATAGGGAAAAGTAACTCTGAGAATCTTAGAATATTACTACTTGGTATCAGATCTTATTCATATTAGTCCGGACCTAACTCTCATTAAGTTTAATCTATGTAACTTCTCTTCCTAGAGTTGGCTGCTCTCTGGTGTTAGCAAACAGCTGCTAATTATGAATTGTTCTCGTGGATGAAGTAGCCTGTGCTTAGGTTAGAATCAGCTTAATTTTTCATCTTTTTGGGTACTACACACTATAGATGACATTCACATGCCTGATGTCAGAGATGTAGACTCCGTCTCTGTTTCCCACTTAATATAGTTGATATAGATAAAATTTTAATATATATGAAATTTTAGTACTTCATCATTAGTAGTAATTTATGTATAATACTCCGCACAACTGATTATGATTCCCTACCCATTTGATTCATTTATAAAGAGAAGTCAAGAAAAATGCATTTGAGGTACACTGAATATGTAATCTATTTGCTTCCTTTCTCAGCCACTGTCCCGACTGATAACTTTCAGGTCATGTCATCCTTTGACCTTGTCCACTTGTTTATGAAATACCTATTGCAGTCAAATCGATTTTGAGTTATAGTGACCCTGTAAGACAGAGTAGAGCTGCCCCACAGGGTTTCCACAGCTGTAATCAGACTGGGTAATCAGTCTGTAATCAGAAGCAGACTGACACATCTTGCTGGTGGGTTCGAACTGCTGACCTTTCAGTTAGTAGCTGAGAGCCTTAACCACTGTGCCATGAGAGCACCTTTGTTTATGAAATAGGGATGCTTAATGTTCTTGATTATTTCAAGCAGTTTTTGAGATTGATAAAGCAAAAGGAGATGTAGAAAGCTGTTTCACCAAAGTGTACAACAGTGTGTATAGTGTACTGTCGTACACGTAAGAACGGAAAAAGTTTACACATATGTGTATTTGTGTATAATTTACCTCTGCAAAAATGCATAGTCATTAATACCATTGGTAGACTGGGGAGAATTGGAAGGCTGGGGCTAAGAGTAGGGGGAAGCTGGAAAAAAGGGACAGGAGCTGGTTGAATGAACATGGGAAATCCGGGGTGGAAAGGATGAGTGTGCTGTCAGAGAGAGAGCAGCTAGGGTTACAGAGCAATGTGTGTATAAATTTTTGTATGAGAAACTGACTTGAACTGTAAACTTTCACTTAAAGCACAATTTAAAAAAAAAAAAAGAGTAGGTAGAAGCTTTATTGTGTATCTTTTCACAAAATTAAATTTAAAGTACTTATATAGAATATATACCAAATTTTTTAAAGGAGTAACTTACACAAAGTGAAATAGAGGAAGAAGAGGTGGAGTGTGGATTCCCTTTCACTTTTCTGCTTTGTAAGCTTTTGAACCATAGTCTGTTTGTTTGTTTTAATGAGCATATATGAGTTTTATAATGTAAAAGTAAATATTTGAAAAAGGAGAAACTACATACCTCAGACCATATATGAAAATTAACTCAAAATAGTTCCAAGACTTACATGTAAGAACTAAAACCACTAAACTTTTAGAACAAAACGTAGAAGTACTGTTTGGGGACCAAATTTTCAACAATGGATTCCTACATATGATACCAAAAACGCGAACAACAAAAGACAAAATAGATACATTGGATTTCTTCAGAGAACTTTATGAAGAAAGTGAAGTGACATCCTACAGATTGGGAGAAAATATTTGGTAACCACATATCTCATAAGGGGTTTACTATCCAGAATATATAAAGAGCTTCTAACATAACAACAGTAAGACAAACAATCGAATTGAAAATTGGGCAAAGGACTTTATCCAAGTCATTTCACCAAAGAAGATATACAAATGGCCAGTAAGCACATGAAAAGATGCCAGGTGTTGTTAATTGTTAGGGAACTACAAATCAAAGCCACAATGAGATACCACTTCAGACCCACTAGGATGGCTGTTTTCAGAAAAACAGAAAACAACAAGTGTTGGCAAGGATGTGGAGAAATTAGAATCCTCATCGGTTGCTAGTAAAATAATGTGGTCACTGTGGAAAATGATGGCAGTTCCTCAGAACATTGAACAGAACTACCGTATGACCCAGCATGGAACCTCCAAAAAGGATCGAAAGCAAGAACATGAACAGATTCTTATACACCAGTGTTTATTGTAGCACTTTCACAATAGCCCAGATGTTGAAACATCCTAAATATACATCAAGAGATGAATGACTGAACAAAATGTGGTACATACATCCAGTAGGCTCAAGCATAACAATGATTGTGAGGATGGTGCAGAACAGGGGCAGTGTTTCTTTCTGTTGTACGTAGGGTCACTGTGACTCAGAACCGGCTCAACAGCACCTAGCAACAACATATAGTGGAATGTATTACTCAGCCATAAAGAGAAATGAAGTCCTGATACATGCTACAACACAGATGAGCCTTGAAAACATCAGACTAAGTGAAATAAGTCAGTCACAAAAGGACAAATATTGTATGATCCCACTTAACTGTTATATATATTTCACCACAATTTATTTAAAAAAAAAGTCACCAAGGAACTTTTTGGGTGATGAATATGTTCTATATCTTGATTGTGGTGGTGGTGACATAACTGTATATGTTTGTCAAAACTCATCAAACTGTGTACTTAAAACGGGTGAATTTTATTGTATGTAAATTATACAATAAAGTTAATTTAGAAAAAAGAAACTATATTAAGTTTCCTCTGGCTGGCATAACAAATTACCACTACGGATGGCTTAAAAAAACAAAAATTTATTCTCTCACAATTCTGGAGGCTACAAGTTACATTGTCTCCTGAGGCTCTAGGAGAGAATCCATTCTTTGCCTCTTCTAGCCGTGAGTCGGAATCGACTCAGCAGCTGACAACAACAGCGTGTGGTAGTTGTAGGTGACATTCGTTGTTTTTTGTGGGTGCATTTCTCTCTGCTGTGTCTCTGCTACACTAACCATCTTCTAAATCCTCTAGGAAAAATATGTAGGTATTCCATATTTTGTCAGTATTTTTATGATCTTATAGAAAATTCTGACTTATCTTCCTTTTATTCTCTGCAGTTGGTCCTGAGAAGAGGGTACCAGCAATGCCTGGATCGCCTGTGGAAGTGAAGATACAGTCAAGATCCTCACCTCCCACCATGCCACCCCTCCCACCAATAAATCCTGGAGGACCGAGGCCAGTGTCATTTACTCCAACAGCATGTGAGACCCCTTAATTACTTGGGTTTGTGGTTCAGAGTGACATTTGGATCTGAGTGACTGACCACTGTTGAGCCTTCCACATACTATTTAACATTTTCAAAATGCTATCTAAAATACATATGTATCGTTTCTTTTATAAATTGCTTTTTCACTCTAAGGATAGTAGTTAGCTAATTTAGGTGTTTGGAAATTTAGTGGTCTAAATACTCTGTTTTCATACTCTTAGGCTGTTAAGTAGCAATTTTCATTTCTTCGGCTCTAAAATAAAATTTTGGAACTACTACTACTAAAAATGTTCCAGCACTTTTATGGTAAGACTCTATAAAAGAGAATATACTAGCTAATAAATATATTACAACGTGCTCAATCTCACTAGTCATCAAGGCAATATGAGCTGAAGCCCAATACAATATTATTGTACACCCACTAGAACATTCAAAATGAAAACAGTTTCAGTTTTGGTCGAGGATACGTGGAGCAACTTGAACACTCACACACTGCAGATTTGCAGTGTAATTTGGTGTAGCCACTTTGGAAAATTGTTTGGTTTTATCCACTAAAGCTGAACATATACATAGCTATAACTCAGGAATATCAGTCTTACATATATAATTAAAAGAAATGTATATACACATACATATATATATATGTTGTTTTTAGTTGCTGTTGAGTCAGTATATATATTTTTTAATTTGAGTTCTTCTGTCTTTCCTTGCCCATACTGCCAACCCCCCCCCCCCCCCCCATTCAGTTGACTCTCCTGCAGATATTTTGCATCATAAAGCAGAAAAGACAGTTGCTATTTGTGTAGTACTCACAAAGTTGTCAGGGTACTGCTAGGTGCTATATGTATTTTCTTATTTAAACTCCATCATACAAACTTGTAAGGTGTAGGTATCAACATTTTTGCTTTCTGGCAGAAAGTTAGATCTAGGTCTGTCCAACTTCAGACCATGTGCACTTTGCTCTGTACCACCCTGTCCTCTCAAACTTTTCTCAGTGGGGTTATCAATGACCCATTTGCAAATCGGTGTATACTTCTCCACCACACTATCCTTGCTCAAAAGTTTGTGTTTTATGTTTATGTCATTTTAAAAGGCAAGAAAAGACTCTAAAAAGTACAACTTTAAGAGAAGGTTTAATTATTATTTTCCCAAGACATTCGAAACTGAGTAACTGGCAACCAACTACAAGCTTCAGTTTGAACCAGAATAAATGAAATGAAGTTTAATATCCTTGTTCTTAAATTCCATTTTCCATCTCAATGTTAAGCAGCCTTAGGCATCAGTACTGTCTTGAACTAAAACAGATTTAATCTAACCGAGGCTATCATCATTCAGATTTCAGGGTACAAAGAATCAGTGTATATATATATATATAAATTTTACCCTTTTTACCTCCATAGTTGGCCACTTGGGGGTGGATATGTTTTGTTTTGGAAAATATGATCATGTGCTTTTACTAAAGAAGCTTTGGAAAAGCCTATCAGAGCATCAAGGTGGCCAAAAGCACAATAATATATTATTTTTATGGGTTGCTTTAAGAGAGAGCAGCTTTCCAATGACAGTTGACTTTTTTTGTGAAAACAAGGAAGTGGCAGACCATTGCAACTAATTTTCTACATTGCTGAGATTGAGTGTTGAGCTTTCCTTTCCCGTAGCTTTAGCGATCTCTTAGTGGAAGACATAGAAGAAAATTCAACCTTTTTTTCCCAGCCTGTTATTCTTGTATGCAGTGAATTATTCAGGAACGTTTAACACTTACCCTTTGCTAGGTAATGAAAAAAGCTGAAGTAGGTGTGTGAAATAGTGTTCATCAAATAGTGCATAGTCTAGTATGTTAAGGCAGTGTAAATATAGACACTATAGCGGAAGCATATTTCAGGTATGTAGGCAGCATAAAGAAGAATTACTAAATCTATTAGAGTTTACCCTAGTACAGGTAATATCTGAGCTATATATTACAGATGTAAATTACAAGTGAAGAAGAGTTTGCCAGGTCAGATGTGAACAAGGATTAGTCCAAGAGGAGGGAACAGTGGTGTCAACTCACTGTGACTGGCTTAGAGAAAGTAGAAGGGAATTGGAAGATTTTTAATAATCAGTAAATTTGCATTAGGCAAAATGTAAGTAATGTCAGTTTTCTAAGCTAGTTAAAGAGTAAATGATTGGGCCCTTTAAACTTGACTTAAATTGTTTCTTATGTTTTTAGATACAGTTTCACTTTTTTGATTTCCAATATGTGATATGACTAAGTGAAAACCTATTGACACTTATACACTAGGTAATTTTATTTTACTGTTCAATGAAGAAGGAGGTTGTCATTTAATGCCATTAAGAACTTAGCTCTAAGGTTGTATTTCACATTAAAACTACCAAGAAATAACTGTTAAGAACAGTGGAAAAATAGGAAAACTACTTAATCACATGTATTGTAATTGGAGCCCTGGTGGTGTAGCGGTTAAGAGCTCAGCTGCTAACCAAAAGGTTGGCAGTTTGAATCCACAAGCCACTCCTTGGAAACCCTATGGGGCAGTTTTACTCTGTCCTATAGGGTAACTGTGAGTCAAAATCGACACAATGGCAATGGGTTTAATTTGGTTTTGGTTATTGTAATTTGAGCAAAAATACAGAATGGGAGTGTCATTTTTTACCTGATGTTCTGCCTCACTATACAGCAGTCTCATTCAGGGCAGAATCCAAGTCTTGTTTAATCTTTTTTTTTAATCTTTCGAAGGATTTTTATATTTTGAAAATTCATTGTTTAATCTTTTAGCATGTGCTTTACAAAGTACGAATGAATGAATGAGCGAGCAAGAGACCAGACAAGAAATTAACAAAGATCCTTGAGTTTTGCACTTAAACTAAGTCTTTTATTTTGGCTTTCTTATAGTAAGCAATGGAATCAACCATTCTCCTCCTACCCTGAATGGTGCCCCATCACCACCACAAAGGTTCAGCAATGGTCCTGCCTCTTCCACATCATCTGCACTAACAAATCAACAATTGCCAGCCACTTGTGGCGCTCGGCAGCTCAGCAAGTTGAAACGCTTTCTCACCACTCTCCAACAGTTTGGCAATGACATCTCACCTGAGATTGGGGAGAAGGTGCGGACTCTTGTTCTAGCGCTGGTGGTAAGTACAGCAACACTGTCCTTGACAGCTACCTGAGTATGTGGCTCAGAACCAAAGCCAGCAAAGAAATTGTAGATATTTCTGCTCATTCCCAAACCTGTAGTAATGACAAACCCTACAGACTAGTTATTGTTGAAAACTGTTGGATGATGGATTTCATGGTAACAGTGTTTATCAAAGGAACATATAAAACTGAAATATTTACTCTATTGTTTCTTATGGTGTTGATTTAATTCCAGTAAGCAGCTTTGAATTTGTCTTAAAACTGGGTTTCCAACAGCCCCACTGTTCAGCCAAGTTAATTCAAGGCTTTTTTTATTTAATACATTCATTGCCTGGTACATTGTTTCCAAATCAGAGAGAAAAGAGAAATAAGAAGTTTAATTTTCAAAATAATAATTTGTAAAATTATAAGGTTTATGTTCTAAGTAAATAGTATCAAAGGGATCACACTTCTCAGCTCCTCATGCAAATACAGTTTCTTTAGTATTTCAAAATACACATAATTTTTCACTGGGTGTGATGAACCTGTGGTATAGGGGGTGATTTTCTGACATTGACAACTGGGTGAGGTTTAACGCTCAGTATTTTATAAGTGAAGTAGTGCCAGCTCCCAGTGTTTGTAAATGGAAATCATTGACTGGCTTTGAGTGAAATCACTGTGAGCTCCTGCATGTTAGCCTCTATAAGTAATAAAAAGACAAATCACACTACCAGACCTGAAACTAGCAGTTCTCCAGGTGTCATCCAGAAGCTTCTGGGGTTCCCCAAGACCCTTTCAGGGGTCTGTGAGATCAGAACTATTTTCGTAATATTAAGGTGTTAATTGGCTTTTCACACGTATTCTCGTATGAGTTGTAGGACAGAGAACTAAGTTTAGCCTTTTGTATCTGGTTTCTGAAATAAGCCAGAGCAATTAAAGTACCCTTTATCTTTCTAAAATGGTCAGGCAAGTAGAAGCTACACAGGCCCCATACCTGGCTAACTTCAGGAAGGGAGGGGGCCATGATGCAGACATGCATATTCATTAATTTGATTGATCATAATTATGCATTAAGGCCCCAGTCATGCACATCCAATGAATAGGGGACTCTGAACTTTGGAGCTGTCTTTGGGACTTCCAGGATTTGTGACAACATCCATGCAGGGGAAAGGGTACAGAACAATGGAAGCGTTGTGCCAGGACCGCTTCCAGACCTTGCCTGATGTGTCTCTTCGATTGTAAGTTCTTTCTGGATATAATAAATGGTAACTGTAAGTATAGGTAATAAGAAACCAAACCCATTGCCGTTGAGTTGATTCTGACTCATAGCAACCCTATACGACAGAGTAGAACTGACCCATAGGATTTCCAAGGAGCAGCTGATGGATTCAAACTGCCGACCTTTAGATTAGCAGTTAAGCTCTTAACCACTGCACCGCTAGGGCCCCAGTATAGGTAATAGTTCCTGTGAGTTTTGTGAGCCACTCTAGAGAATTAATGAACCCACAGGGCAATGAGCCAGCAAGGGCTGGTGATAGAGTAGATTTGTGTAGACCACACTCTGTGTAGCTGGGTGATAGAGAAAGGCTGTACGGGCAGTCAGTGACCTAGTTTGTGACTTAGTCACAGGGGATTAGAAATCTAGAGAGAAGCCATCCGGTCTGAAGTGCAGGGAGTGCAGACTCCTGAGCCTACGACTACTCCCTGATGTCGTGGCCTAGGGTGGCCAGGGTTGTTTTGACCCAAATGAGACCTTATCTTACTCTGAGGTTTTAGGGTCTGAGAGTTTTTACCACAGAACTGACTGACGACAAGGTATGGAGATGTGGGAAGGTGAGGCTTGGATCCATTCCATCTAGGAATTGGATTCATGCTGATCTTTGCCACGCAGTTGGTGATTTGCCCACCTTGTGCCTTTCTTAGTGCAATTGGTAGCCTCGAGTTCCTCACATGAGTCTGCAGAGGAGTGTTCCAGAGGCTACATGACATATTGATATCACAACAGATTAAATGCAAAAACCGATTATAGAATTCAGTTGTCTTCTTTTAAACTAGATACTTGAGGAGAGTTGCAAGATTGTAAAACAGTGCCACTCTTCTTACTACATTTTTTTTTCTTTTGGAAAATATAGTTATTTTTTATAGAAAATATTAACGTGAATATGTGAAGAAAAAACCTTGCTGTCAAGTCGATTCCGACTCATAGCGACCCTATAGGACAGAGTAGAACTGCTCCATAGGGTTTCCAAGGAGTAACTGGTGGATTTGAACTGTCGACCTTTTGGTTAGCAGCCGTAGCACACCGTAGCTTTTAACCACTGCGTCATCAGGGGTTAATAATAAATATTTTTTAAAGCTCTCAGTTTTAATTTCTCATTTGGTGAATACTGATAGATATAACCCACATAAACTTACAGGTATTTTGAGACCAAAAGGTTTAAGAACTGCCTTAAAAGGTTTCTCAGTATAATATGAAGAAATTGAAGATTTTTACCAAATTTTACAGTCTGAAATTGATCAAACTTGCAATCAAGTGCATTGATAATTACTGGTGACTGGAGTGTGAAAGTTGGAAACGAAGAAGAATTGGTAGTGGAAAATATGGCCTTGGTGATAGAAATGACAGTGGAGATTGCATGATAGAATTTTGCAAGAACAGTGACATTCATTGCAGATTCCTCTTTTTTACAACATAAATGGCAGCTATACACATGGACCTTGCTGGATGGAGTACACAGGAATCAAATCAGCTACATCTGTGGAAAGAGACTATGCAGAAGCTCAATATAATCAGTCAGAACAAGGCCAGGGGCGAACTGCGGAGCAGACCATTAATTGCTCATATGCAAGTTCAAGTTGAAGCTGAAAAAAATTAGAACAAATCCACAACAGCCAAAATACCACCTTGAGTGTATCGTATCTGAATTTGAGACCATCTCAAGAATAGATTTGATACATTGAACATTCATGATCAAAGACCAGATGAATTGTGGGATGACATCAAGTACATCATACCTGAAGAAAGCAAAAGGTCATTAAAAAGACAGAAGAGAAAGAAAAAGACCAAAATGGATGTCAGAAGAGACTCTGAAATTTGCTGTTGAACATAGAGCAGCTAAAGCGAATGGAAGAAATGATGAAGTAAAAGAGGTGAAACAGAAGATTTCAAAGGGCTGCTCAAGAAGACAAGGTGAAGTATTATAATGAAATGTGCAAAGACCTGGAGTTAGAAAACCAAAAATGAAGAACACATTTGGCATTTCTCAAGCTGAAAGAACTGAAGAAAAAATTCAAGCCTTACATTGCAATATTGATGGGTCCTATGGGGAAATACTGAACAATGAAGGAAGCATCAAAGGAACACACAGTCACTGTACCAAAAAGAATTGGTCGTCATTCAGCCATTTCAGGTGGTTGCATATGATGAAGAGCTGATGGTATTGAAGGAGGAAGTCCAAGCTGTGCTGAAGGTATTGGCAAAAAAAAAAAAAGCTCCAGGAATTGACAGAATACCAGTTGAGAAGTTTCAACAAACAGATGCAGTACTGGAGGTGCTCACTCATCTATGCCAAGAAATCTGGAAGATAGCTACCTGGACAACCAACTGGAAGAGATCCATATTTGTGCCCATTCCAAAGAAGGTGATCCAACAGAATGTGGAAATTATCGAACAATATCATTAATATCACACACAAGTAAAATTGTGCTGAAGATCATTCAAAAGCAGTTGGAGCAGTATATCAACAGTGGACTCCCAGAAATTCAAGCCAGATTCAGAAGAGGATGTGGAACGAGAGATATTATTGCTGATGTCAGATGGATCTTGGCTGAAAGCAGACAATACCAGAGAGATGTTTACCTGTATTTTATTGACTGTGCAAAGGCATTTGACTGTATGGATCATAACAAATTATGGATAATATTGCGAAGAATGGGAATTCTAGAACACTTAACTGTGCTGATGAGGAATCTGTACATAGACCAAGAGGCAGTCGCTCAAAAAGAACAAGGGGACGCTGCATGGTTGAAAGTCAGGAAAAGTGTGTTTCAGGGTTGTATCCTTTCATCATACTTAAACTCAGTCTGTATGCTGAGCAGATAATTTGAGAAGCTGGACTGTATGAAGAAACATGGCATCAGGATTGGAGGAAGACTCATTAACAACCTGCAATATGCAGATGACACGGCCTTGCTTGTGGAAAGCAAAGAGGACTTGAAGCACTGATGAAGATCAAAGACTACAGCCTTCATTGTGGATTACACCCCATCATAAAGAAAACAAAAATCTTCACAACTAGACCAATAAGCAACATCATGATAAACAGAGAAAGTATTGAAGTTGTCAGTGATTTAATTTTACTTGGATCCACAATCAACGCCCATGGAAGCAGCAGTCAAGAAATCAAGCAACATATTGTGTTAGGCAAGTCTGCTGCAAAAGACATCTTTAAAGTATTAAAAAGTAAAGATGTCACTTTGAGGACTAGGGTGCACCTGACCCAAACCGTGATATTTTCAGTCACTTCATATGCATGTGAAAGCTGGACAGTGAATAAGGAAGACTGAAGAAGAGTCGATTGCTTTGAATTATGGTGTTGGCAAAGAATATTGAGTATACCATGGACTGCCAGACGAAGAGGCAAATCTGTCTTGGAAGAAGTACAGCCAGAATGCTCCTTGGAAGCAAGGATGGCGAGACTTTGTCTCACGTACTTTGTACATGTTATCAAGAGGGACCAGTCCCTGGAGAAGGACATCATGCTTGGTAAAGTAGAGAATCAACGAAAAGAGGAATAGCCTCGATAAGGTGGATTGACACTGTGGATGCAACAGTGGACTCAAACATAGCAATGATTGTGAGGATGGCACAGGACCAGGCTGTGTTTTATTCTTTTGTACATAGGGTCACTATGAGTTGGAACTGACTTGACAGCGTCTAACAACAACGTAGAAGAAACAACTTTTATACAGGGAAAGTGGCAATAAATGACTTTTTTATCATGTATGAGAGTAAATGTCTATTATTGTTTAGGTTGTTCATTTTCATTCCATATAATGTTTACTGTAGGAATATACCACAATTATTCTTTTGCTCTTGATGGACATTTGAGTTGTTTCCAGTTTGGGTCAGTATCGGGTTCCCAGCACCATCCCCATGTTCAGAGATTTACTAGAAGGATTCACAGGACTTGGAATATAGTTGTACTCACAGCTAAGATTTATTATAGGGGCGTAATAAGGATACATAGCCAGATCATAAAGGAGATAGACACAAATGAGTCTGAAACAGTCCACGTGCAGGCTTTCTTATGCTGTCTCCCTCCCATCAGTAGTCATACAGTAGATGCATACACATTCTTCCACCCGGAACAGAAATACATCAATATGTGTGATGTTCCTGCCCAGGGAAGCCCATTAGAGTCAGTGCCTAAGGTTTTTATTCAGAGTGGTCACATAGGTTCTCTTTGCCTACCTAGCACATACCAAAATTCTAGCGTCCTAGAAGGAAAACTGTTGTTCAGCATAAACTGACTGTTTGTACCAACTGTCTAAGCACAGTGAGCCACTCTGATCAGTTAGGGACAATTTTATATCAGCATACAGACACCAGCCGGTGGCTCATCTTTGCAAGCCATCCTTTCTGCACAGGAACCATTACAAATAATGCTGCTGTGAACATTCTTGTACATGATTTTTAGCGCGTGTTTGTAATCATTCCACTCAGCGATAGAATTGTGGTTTCATAGCATATGCGTACATATAAATTTATTATATAATGCCATACAGTTTTCCCAATTGGTACACCGAATTATATTCTCACCTGCTGGAATATTAGTCAAGATTGATACTGAAACTATAAATAGATTTGGGGAAAATACAGGAAAAAAAAGTTTGTTAAATTTAATACCCATTTATTATTAAAAATAAAAAAAGAAGGAGAACTTAGAAAACTAGTTATAGAAGAAACTTCCTTAATTTTAAAGGATATTAAAAAAACAATCCTACCTCCAATCTCATGTTTAATGGTGAAATTTTGAAAGCTTCCCCTCTGAGATTAGAAACAACACACAGATGACCACTGTCCTCTCTTGTATTCATTGTAATCCTGAAAGTTCTAACCTAGGAAATAAGATAAAAGGATTGGAGAGTGATAAATAAAACTGCCTTTATTGTAGATAAAAGATTGCCTTATGCATTTGAGCTTACCACTCTGTTTTGTCTTTTTTTGGTTTTACAACCATCTTGTTGAGAACCTTGTCTAATTGGAGGAGAGTTAACATTTTTATATTGTTAAATTCTTCTATTCAAGTAAGACTTTCCATTTTTTTCTATAAAGAATGGTCAAAATTTTGGCAAGCATTTATAAGTAGAACAGTCCTTCTAGGAGGTGGAAACTTTTGTTAGCTAATTCAAAAAAGCCCACATAGTTAAGAAGGCGGGGTTTAGGTCACATGTATGCATTCTCTGCTCCTGGCATACAAGAGGTAAGGTGCCAGTCGTCCTTAAATGCATTGGAGAGCGTGCGTGTCCAATTTCCACTGCAAGGTGAATGTTTTTTGACTTTACTTACTTAGAGAATGCATGTTCTGGAGGTAGTTTAGCAGTGTTTCAAGTGCCTTAAACTAGGCAGTCCCTTTGACTCATCAGATTCACTCCTAGGAATTTATCCTAAGGAAATCATAAACTGTGGTTACCAAGATAATCAGTTCAACATTATTTATAATGCCTCCCTCCCCCAAACAACATGATGCCAGCTTAATGTTGTATAAAAGACAGTAAATTGCAATACATCTGTTTAATGAAATATGATGCATAGTCATTAAAAATCAAGAATTGTTACAGTTCAGAGGCAAGGTAAAGTAGACACGCTTCCCCGTTTCTCCTGTAAAATAAGCAAAAAAACTGTAGACATATATAAATAAAAAATAAGACTTTGAAAGGAGAAGAGAAGAAAGCAGATTGGCCAGTAGGAGAGGAGAGACCTTGGAACCTGAGGAACTAACAGTGAGTTCCTTAAGTTTTATTTTTTGCTCATATTGTAGACTGGGAGCTGGAGAAGCTGATAACTCGGAAACACCAACAGGCACAGATTTTTTAGAAAGCCTCGTCTCTAGCCAAAGGGACAGCCCAATGCAGAACACTTAACAGACAGTAATTACCCTACTGCAGCCAGTTGCCTTAGAAAAAACTGTGGCCTCGCCCCCACCCCTGCCAGCAAAGACCTAGTGGGGATCCTAGACTTTTACCCTTACCTGGCTATAGGTAGCCTCCCTCTCCTTCTCCTCCCCCTCCCCATCAAGGTGTCGGTAGAAGCCAATGGGGGAGCGGTAATAAGGCACTCTTCCCCCTGCTAGCCGACAGCATCAAAGAGGCATTCACTCCTCCACGCACTCTTCCTCCACTGGCACAGTGTCAGAGGAGACCTCCTAAAACAAGATTTAGATAGGATCCGGAGTCTTATAACATAGAACCCAGAGTGTTCAGAATACAATAGAAAATCACTTGTCATACCAGGAAAATTTCAACTGGAATGAGAAAAGACAACCAACAGATGCCTACTGAGAAGACACGGATGTTGGAAATACCTGTAAGGATTTTAAAACAGCCACCATAAAAATGTTCAATGAGCAATTATAAACACAAATAAAAAAATAAAGATTCAGCAAAGAAATAGAAGACGAAAGAAGAAACAAAAAGGAAATTTTAGAACTGAAAAATGCAATAAATAGTAATAGGCTCAGCAGCAGAATGGAGAAGACAGAGGAATGAATCAGTGAACTTGAACCAAGTCTGAATACAGAGAAAAATGAACAGATCCTCAGGAACTTGAGGAATTATGAAAAAAGATCAGTAGGAGAGGAGAAAGAGGGTGAGCCTGAAAAAGCATTCAAAGAAATAATGACTGAAATTTTCCCAAATTTGGCAAAAGACCTAAACGTGTAGTTTCAAGAAGCTAAACAAACCTCAAAGAGGAACACCTCCCCCAAAAAAACTCACGTGAAGACACATGATATTCAAACTAAAGACAAAGTAAAAATCTTAAAAGCAGAAACAGAGATGGTGAAAACTTAGCAATTGAGCATCTGTTTGGAGTTATTCTGATATGCAGACAGACGGCTTGAAGCTAGAAAGCATCGATTGTTTTGTTTGTTTGTTTTTATTAACTTCCCATTTAGAAAGTTTGATGCTAGAATGTGGACAGAACCCGCAAAGAGATTAACTTTTGGCAGCTGAGGTTCTGTGTTGTTTAGCCTGAAAATGTCTTTAAATAGACATCCTGGATGGAGTCAGGATCTGTTTAGCAGCAAACTCTTTGTGAGCTTGGTTCCCTGTACCTGAAGTGACTTGGAGAGAATCTCCCAATACTAGGGATCTGAGTTCCTCTCTTTGTGGGTGGTGAGGAAGGATGTACCTTATTCTGCAGCCCAGGCTGCTGGGCACAGAGAATTTAGATTTGGGGTGGCAGAGAAGAGAATCAAGGAGGCCAACTTTCTGTCATTCTGTAATAAAGGAAGTGGACTTTGGTTAACCTTTGAGAGGCGTCTGTTCTTGGAATTATCCTTTTCCTTATGATTTCAAAGGATTCAGCACTGTCAGATTTATATTAGAGGACAGTGTCCAGTTTTGGAAGTTAAATATTATTTATCTTTTCAGAACTCCACAGTGACAATCGAGGAATTCCATTGTAAGCTCCAAGAGGCCACAAACTTCCCTCTTCGTCCTTTTGTGATTCCATTCCTCAAGGTAATTCTGTGAGGTGGTTTATGAGTGCGGTTTATCTTCAGTATTTCCTCAGGATCTGCTTCTGATCCCTGTTTTGTGGTGTACATCGGGGTGAAGTGTTACATTTTCGTATCTTTATTTGGGCTGGTAAGAGATGTGAGTGCAGCCTGCAGATAAACCTCCTGCTTGATGAGATGAGATTTGCAAAAGCTTTTAGTTGTGGTCTGTGTACAGACACAGCTGGTAACACAGAAGGAACAAGTGGAGGTAGGTATAGGAGCAGGGTAGAAGCTGGGCTCTTAGCAGAGAAAATAATTGGACACGCAGTCTTTTTGGTTGGCCAGGCTTGAAGAGTATGTGTTATCTAAGAGGAGGCTGGCTAACAAAGGCGAGGCTGTTGCAGATTGGACTTCCTTTGAGGGCAGGAGAGGATATGGGGAGACCGTGTTTGTGCGTACCCAGCCCTCAGCTAGTCTAATTTTCTAATAAAGTCCTCTGGAATTAATGTTCCCTGGAACATAACTTTCAGGGACACTGCTTATTTGATAAGTGATGCAATGCTATGTTTATACTGAATATGCCTTTTTTTTTTTTTTTTACTTTTATTTTGAAATAATGTACACAGAAAAGTCACAAGAGTACAATAAAATTCTTATATACCCTTCATCCGCTCTCTCTAAATGTTAACATTCTACCACATTTGCATTATTCTGTTTCTGTGTATTTTTTTTTCTCTTTTTTAAAAAAATTTTTTATTATACTTTAGATGAAGGTTTACAGAACAAATAGTTTCTCATTAAACAGTCAGTACACATACTGTTTTATGACATTGGTTAACAACCCCACGACATGTCAACACTCTCCCTTCTCGACCTTGAAGACCTTTTTTTTTTTGGTGGAAATATACATAGCCTACACCATTTTGAAAGTTTCTACATGTACAATTCAGTGACATCGATTACATTGTTCCAGCTGTGCTGCTATTCTCACTATCCTTTTCTAAATTATTCTATCACCATTACCGTCAACTCACTGTCCCGTAGGCTTCCCATCAAACCTTTTGAGTTGCTATTGTCAGTTTGATCTCAAATAGATAATTC